CCCCCCAGAAGTTATTTCCTAGCCTGACCTCACCCCCTCCCCCCCCCACACAGGCTACATCATTAACGACTGTCTGCCATAATTACATTTTAATGGTGTGTGGCGCGTTAATGTTCATTGATTGTCTTTCCCGACCGTCGCTTTATGGTTTGTGGATCTCTTACGTCCTGGTCATGGCTCCTCGGTTGTCTAGATGGGGGGGGGGGTGTCTCCTGACACAGCTGGAGTAACTGTTAAACAGGATTAACACGTGCTTCGGGTTTCAAGGGAAAGAGGGATTTACCAGGATTTACCATGGGCTATATGATGCAAGATTGCAAATGTTCCAGCTGATCTTCCCCGGCTTGGTGCCACAGCAGTGCCTCTGACACGGGCGCCACAGCAGTGCCTCTGACACGGGCACCACAGCAGTGCCTCTGACACGGGCGCCACAGCAGTGCCTCTGACACGGGCGCCACAGCAGTGCCTCTGACACACGCACCACAGCAGTGCCTCTGACACACGCGCCACAGCAGTGCCTCTGACACGGGCACCACAGCAGTGCCTCTGACACACGCACCACAGCAGTGCCTCTGACACACGCGCCACAGCAGTGCCTCTGACACACGCGCCACAGCAGTGCCTCTGACACGAACAATATCACATATATACAGACATGATTCAGTCATACTGAACTTTATACAATAACAATAAAAGGCGACACTAACTGTGCCTTTTCAACCGTAGACATTTACAGTCGTAATATCTTTTAAGATAGTCACACACTGGATATATTTGAGAAATCTGATCAATATCAAAATGATTTTGAGTGTAATTATTATTTTGATGTTTATATCTCAGTTAGGTTAAGCTTCGTTCGCTCTGCCTAGTGGCTGGATGACTGCTGACTTGGATAGCTTGAAAACACGTCCTTCGAAAACACTATAGTACTTATTTCGACTATTGGTCAAATGTACAGATTGTGGACTTTACGAAAATTTATGAAATTCCACATTTTGTATTTTTTACATTGTATAGGGAGCCGGTGGCTGAGCGGACTGAACACTGTACGCGTGATCCTGTGGTCCTGGGTTCGAGCCCGGACGCCGGCGAGAGTCAATGGGCTGAGTTTTTTTCAGCCGGATGCTCCTGTTACCTAGCAGTAAATAGGTACCTGGGAGTTAGTGAGCTGTCACGGGCGGCTTCCTGGGGGGTGGAGGCCTGGTCGAGGACCGGGCCGAAGGGGACACTAAGCCCCGAAATCATCTCAAGATAACCTCAAGATAACCACCTGGCACACTGTACACCTGCCACACCACCACACCTGCCACACCCCCACACCTGCCACACCCCCACACCTGCCACACCCCCCACACTGTACACCTCCCACACTGTACACCTGCCACACACCCCCACACCTGCCACACCGCCACACCTGCCACACCCCCACACCTGCACCAAAGCTGCCACAGGACAAGTCTGGTGACCGCCGCTGGACGCCAGGGAGCACAACATCGCCAGCCATATAACTAATTATTTGCTGGTGGAAAAGAAATGAAAAATCTTTGATGCGTTTTTGTTCGTTCATTCGGCGACCAGAGAGTTTAAACAGGAAGTTTTGGGGTTGAAATTGCGGACTAACTTGGTGGCTGGTGGTGGTGCGGGATTCGAACCCTGGTCGTGTTGACTACCACCAACACACACACACACACATTAAGAGTGCTGGGAAGACGGGACACCACGAGCGTAGCTCTCATCCTGTAACTACACTTAGGTAATTACACTTAGGTAATTACACACACACACACACACACACACACACACACACACACACACACACACACACACTCTGTGGCCTCAAAATTATGCTGAAATGTTTAGAAACGTTGTATACATACACAAATGATACATACGTTTTATACATAAAAAAATACATATTTTATTATCGTATTTTAATATGTAAATATGGCACATATTCACTAGAACATGCACTCACACTAGATCAACAGACACCACAATATTCACACACTGATTCCATACATAATTTCAAGTGTAGATATGATAGAGCCCAGGAGGCTCAGGAACCTGTACACCTGTTGATTGATGGTTGAGAGGCGGGACCAAAGAGCCAGAGCTCAACCCCCCGCAAGCACAACTAGGTGAGTACGATACCCACACTACAACACACACCACCACAACACCACAACACCACAACACACACACACACCACAACACACACACACACACACAACACCACAACACCACAACACCACAACACACACACACACCACAACACCACAACACCACAACACACACACACACCACAACACCACAACACCACAACACACACACACACCACAACACCACAACATCACAACACCACAACACCACAACACCACAACACCACAACCCCACAACACCACAACACCACAACACACACACACACAGCACCACAACCCCACAACACCACAACACCACAACACACACACACCACAGCACCACAACACCACAACACCACAACACACAACACAACACCACAACACCACAACACCACAACACACACACACACCACAACACCACAACACCACAACACACACACACCACAACACCACAACACCACAACACCACAACACACACACACACAACACCACAACACCACAACACCACACACACACAACACCACAACACACACACACACACACACACACACAACACCACACCACAACACCACAACACACAACACCACACACCACAACACACACACACACCACACACACACCACAACACCACAACACCACACACACACACCACAACACCACAACACCACAACACCACACACACAACACCACACACCACACACACAACACCACACCACACCACAACACCACAACACACACACACACACACACCACAACACCACAACACCACAACACACACACCACAACACCACACACACCACAACACACACACACACACACCACACAACACCACAACACACACACACCACAACATCACAACACCACAACACACACAACACACACACCACACACCACACACACACACACACCACACACCACACACACACACACACACCACACACACCACAACACCACAACACACACACACACCACAACACCACAACACCACAACACCACAACACCACAACACCACAACACCACAACACCACACACACCACAACACCACAACACCACAACACACACACACACAACACCACAACACCACAACACCACAACACACACAACAACACCACACACACCACACACACCACAACACACACACACCACACACACACACACAACACACACACACACCACAACACACACAACACCACAACACACACACACCACACACACCACACACCACAACACCACACACACCACAACACACACACCACAACACAACACACACACCACACACACCACAACACCACAACACCACACCACACAACACCACAACACACACACACACACACACACCACACACACACACACACACACAACACACACAACACCACAACACACACACACCACAACACCACAACACCACAACACACACAACACACACACACACACACACACAACACCACAACACACAACACACAACACAACACCACAACACCACAACACACACACACACACACACCACAACACCACACACACACACACCACAACACCACAACACCACAACACACACACAACACCACAACACCACAACACCACAACACACACACACCACAACACCACACACCACACACACAACACACACAACACCACAACACCACAACACCACACACACAACACCACAACACACAACACCACACACACACACACACACCACAACACACAACACACACACCACAACACCACAACCACACACACACACACACACACCACACACACCACACACACACACACACACACACCACACACACACACACACCACAACACCACAACACACACACACACAACACCACACACACACAACACCACACCCACACACACACACACACCACACACACCACAACACCACAACACACACAACACCACAACACACACACACCACACACCACAACACACACACACAACAACACACACACCACACACACCACACACACACACACACACACACACAACACCACACACACAACACACACACACACCACAACACACACAACACACACAACACCACAACACCACAACACCACAACACACACACACACACACAACACACACACACACACAACACCACAACACACACACACACACACACACACACACACCACAACACCACAACACCACACACACCACACACCACACACCACAACACCACACACACACACACACACACACCACAACACCACACACACACACACACACACACACACCACAACACCACAACACCACAACACACACACACACACACACACACACACACACACACACACAACACCACAACACCACAACACACACACACACACACACACCACACACACACACCACAACACCACACACCACAACACCACAACACCACAACACCACAACACACACAACACCACAACACCACAACACCACAACACCACAACACCACAACACCACAACACCACAACACCACAACACCACAACCACACACCACAACACCACAACACCACACACACACACACACACCACAACACACAACACACACAACACACACACACACACCACAACACACACACACACACCACACACACACACACACACACACACACAACACAACAACACACAACACCACAACACCACAACACACACACACCACAACACCACAACACCACAACACCACAACACACACACACCACAACACAACACAACACCACCACAACACCACAACACCACAACACACACACACACCACAACACCACAACACCACAACACTATACACACTTGACAAATAATACATTCTGACATCAATTTAGCATTTGCGTCCTGCTTATTTGCATATTGTCATTATCCGTGGCGGGTTGTTTACTGGCTCTGGTCTGCAGCATGATGGTCTGCAGCATGACGATCTGCAGCATGATGGTCTGCAGCATGATGGTCTGCAGCATGATGGTCTGCAGCATGACGATCTGCAGCATGATGGTCTGCAGCATGATGGTCTGCAGCATGATGGTCTGCAGCATGACGGTCTGCAGCATGATGGTCTGCAGCATGACGGTCTGCAGCATGACGGTCTGCAGCATGATGGTCTGCAGCATGACGGTCTGCAGCATGACGGTCTGCAGCATGATGGTCTGCAGCACGACGGTCTGCAGCATGATGGTCTGCAGCATGACGGTCTGCAGCATGACGGTCTGCAGCATGATGGTCTGCAGCATGACGGTCTGCAGCATGATGGTCTGCAGCACGACGGTCTGCAGCATGATGGTCTGCAGCATGACGGTCTGCAGCATGACGGTCTGCAGCATGACGGTCTGCAGCATGATGGTCTGCAGCACGATGGTCTGCAGCATGATGGTCTGCAGTATGATGGTCTGCAGCACGACGGTCTGCAGCATGACGGTCTGAAGCATGACGGTCTGCAGCACGACGGTCTGCAGCATGATGGTCTGCAGCACGACGGTCTGCAGCATGATGGTCTGCAGCACGACGGTCTGCAGCATGATGGTCTGCAGCATGACGGTCTGCAGCATGATGGTCTGCAGCACGACGGTCTGCAGCATGATGGTCTGCAGTATGATGGTCTGCAGCACGACGGTCTGCAGCATGATGGTCTGCAGCATGATGGTCTGCAGCACGACGGTCTGCAGCATGATGGTCTGCAGTATGATGGTCTGCAGCACGACGGTCTGCAGCATGATGGTCTGCGGCATGATGGTCTGCAGCATGACGGTCTACAGCATGATGGTCTGCAGCATGATGGTCTGCAGCATGACGGTCTGCAGCATGATGGTCTGCAGCATGATGGTCTGCAGCATGATGGTCTGCAGCATGATGGTCTGCAGCATGATGGTCTGCAGCATGGTCTGCAGCATGACGGTCTGCAGCACGACGGTCTGCAGCATGACGGTCTGCAGCATGATGGTCTGCAGCACGACGGTCTACAGCATGATGGTCTCCAGCATGATGGTCTGCAGCATGACGGTCTGCAGCATGATGGTCTGCAGCATGGTCTGCAGCATGACGGTCTGCAGCACGACGGTCTGCAGCATGATGGTCTGCAGTATGATGGTTTGCAGCACGACGGTCTGCAGCATGACGGTCTGCAGCATGACGGTCTGCAGCATGATGGTCTGCAGCATGGTCTGCAGCATGACGGTCTGCAGCACGACGGTCTGCAGCATGACGGTCTGCAGCATGACGGTCTGCAGCATGATGGTCTGCAGCATGACGGTCTGCAGTATGATGGTCTGCAGCACGACGGTCTACAGCATGATGGTCTGCAGCATGATGGTCTGCAGCATGACGGTCTGCAGCATGATGGTCTGCAGCATGGTCTGCAGCACGACGGTCTGCAGCATGACGGTCTGCAGCATGATGGTCTGCAGCATGGTCTGCAGCATGATGGTCTGTAGCACGACGGTCTGCAGCATGATGGTCTGCAGCACGACGGTCTGCAGCATGATGGTCTGCAGCACGACGGTCTACAGCATGATGGTCTACAGCATGATGGTCTGCAGCATGACGGTCTGCAGCATGATGGTCTGCAGCACGACGGTCTGCAGCATGACGGTCTGCAGCACGACGGTCTGCAGCATGACGGTCTGCAGCATAATGGTCTGCAGCATGACGGTCTGCAGTATGATGGTCTGCAGCACGACGGTCTACAGCATGATGGTCTACAGCATGATGGTCTGCAGCATGACGGTCTGCAGCATGATGGTCTGCAGCATGGTCTGCAGCATGATGGTCTGTAGCACGACGGTCTGCAGCATGATGGTCTGCAGCACGACGGTCTGCAGCACGACGGTCTGCAGCATGATGGTCTACAGCATGATGGTCTACAGCATGATGGTCTGCAGCATGACGGTCTGCAGCATGATGGTCTGCAGCACGATGGTCTGCAGCATGACGGTCTGCAGCACGACGGTCTGCAGCATGACGGTCTGCAGCATGATGGTCTGCAGCACGACGGTCTACAGCATGATGGTCTACAGCATGATGGTCTGCAGCATGACGGTCTGCAGCATGATGGTCTGCAGCATGATGGTCTGCAGCATGATGGTCTGCAGTACGACGGTCTGCAGCATGATGGTCTGCAGCACGACGGTCTGCAGCACGACGGTCTGCAGCATGATGGTCTGCAGCACGACGGTCTGCAGCATGACGGTCTGCAGCACGACGGTCTGCAGCATGATGGTCTGCAGCACGACGGTCTGCAGCATGATGGTCTGCAGCATGATGGTCTACAGCATGATGGTCTGCAGCATGACGGTCTGCAGCATGATGGTCTGCAGCATGGTCTGCAGCATGATGGTCTGCAGCACGACGGTCTGCAGCATGATGGTCTGCAGCACGACGGTCT